AGACACAAAGCTGCTAAAATAATGTTTATTTCATTTCGACAAATTGGTGAAATTTACAACAGATTCAATTCTAATGTGCTACGTTCGATTCCTTCTGGATGCAATGGTGTCTCAGCTGGTTTTCCGATGTCTTATGGATAGAATCTGATCAGGTGATCAGGTTGTGCGGCCAAAATGAGCTTGGTAGAAGATCCTCAGGCAGAGTCATCACCATACATGATGGTAAAGCCTGACTTATCATAGCAGCGAGCAAGAAGGCAAGCCTTTATAAGGAAACCGCCTAACCAAGGGTGTTGGGGATAGCGGGGTGTTTGACCAAAGGTGTTGGAGATGGTAGTTATCTGATGAAAACTCTTTTTCTTACGAAAAGGAAGTTTTAGAAAACCCCACTTGAATCCTGAAAAGCTCATTTCACAGTTTTGGGAAGAAAACCAAGGAGGCAGAAACGCTCAAGGTTGATGACAGATGAGGTTGAAGATAATTTGAGCCGAAATTTATAGAATATCAGAAGGTAGTTCAAGAGTCGTGAGAAGATCAAGAGACTCCAGGTTGCGTTAATCTCAACTAGAAGACACAAGTTCCAAGAACAAGGGTCCTGGCGCATGCAGCTATTCAATCAATATTGGTGCCTGGAATTCCAGCCTGAATATTGATTGAAGGGGGCACTGTTTGGGTTAAAACTTGAATTTTGGGCTCAAGAAGGAGTTGCCCCAAAAGGAGGTCTGGAAAGGGGAAAAGCCCGAAGCCCAGCCAAAGCCCAGAAGGCAGAAAAGGCCTTTCCCGACTAGGTGCAGATCATTTGCACCACTTGCTCACCTGCCTAGAGACCAAGTGGTATAGACCAGCCAGCTAATCAGCCCAAAAGCACTTTACAGTGGCAGTACAAGTAAATAGCTGATGAGTCACTACCCTTCAAGCTGCATTTGGGCAAGATTACTGCTACAGGAGGCCAAGCCGAAGTGTCTATAAAAGAAGAAAGAGAAATCAGAGATAAGGACACTCAATCAAACAAACAAATACAAGCACAAACTCTGCTCAAAGCCAGATTTGCCATCAAACGAAAGCTATAGTCAGCCCAAGCCTTCATCCCTTTCGGGATAAACCCTTACCAAAAGCCTTTGTAATAACTCTGCTACCTTGTCCTAAGCTTGCTGTAGTATCGATTTCTTTCTGTAAACTCATCTCCCTACCCCCCTTTCTAAAGCTCTCAAACCCTTTGATAAACCACAAAGATAGGAAGTTGCAAGACGATCAGCCTTGCCCGACCCTCTTTGTTTTTGTCTTTTCATTCATTAGCCTAGCAATATGTTGTATACTTCCAGTTGTATTCAAGTTATTTCTAGTAAGATGACGATTAAAAGACTCTTTCAGTTCTTGAATCCGATTTGAATATGTCTTCACAGTTCAAACCAGATCTAAGTTCTACGCTCTCGGGCATGTAAGATTGATCATTCAAAAGTCCTTGGCCTCAAGGCATAAAAAAGAACCTTAGGTAGACTTAACCCATCCACGACAAGCTTTGATAACAAGAAGTCCGAAGTTACTTGGGGTGCAAGTAATCGACCTATCTCTTAGTTTTATTTCTATTATATTATGATTATAGTATAACGTTTGAGTATATAAGGAATTCTGATGGGAAGCCTCAAGGCCTATATCTAAGGCCCTACAAGGCACCTATTTGGGTTCATTCTGCTATGCGGGCTCGGATAATCAGGAGTATAATGGTTATAACACTTCTGCAAACAATAAAACAGACATCGTATATTCGAGTACTGGGTTAGTTCTTGATCGGAAGCCTCAAGGCCTACACCTAAGGCCCCACAAAGGCACCTGTCATAACTAACACAGCCTCTCGGGTATATGTACAACTAAAATTCAACATCTATTTTACATCTGCCATGCTAAAGATGGCAGTGGCATGCCTGAGCACTTAAAAGTTAATCTTGATTGTGAGCCTCAAGGCCTATACCTAAGGCCCCACAAAGGCATCTTTCAAAGTTAACTCTGTCCTTCTCTTTCAGCCTTGTCCGACAAGCCCGCCAGTAAAGCAGAAGCCCGACAGAAAGCATCAACCGGCGTCAACCTCTCGGGGAGTTGTGTGCTCGTCGACTAGGAGACTTCCCCAACGGAAATTCCAGCCACGAACATTTACTATTATGTCCGAAAATCAAGCCTTATATGCAGCTCCTAATCCATTATCATCATTTCAAAAAAAGATGAAGAAAGAGAACGTCACATATGCATGCATTGATTGATATGGTGAGGGGACAAATTGCAACTTTGTATCTCAAAGAATTTTGTTATGGCTAAACTTTGTCCGACATTAAACGCATGCAACAGGACCAATCATGAGTATGTCATGTGAAAGGCTTGCGTGTGAAACAAGGGGATCCAGACCCAAGCAATTGCTTGGGTAAACAGCATTTCCGCCCATGGAAATTTGCTATGGCTTAAACTTTAAATCCATTCCAAATTTCCCTTCACCTATCTCCTCCAAGCCATGGCTGGTATAGCTTTGGCAGCAACCTTGGCGATTTTGGCCCCACGCCCAGATTTACTATGTTACGTCAACCATAATTTTATTTATTTATTTATTCATTTTATGTCGGGCGTCGCTATATGCGTCTGACGGAGAGGGTGGTGCGACAAGAAATTGCATGTAGGGCAGGCCACAACGGTCGACTAAGCTCCCAACAGCCAGTTTAAAGACTTTATTACACATGGCGCATTTGCATCGTCTGATTTAGATCTCGACTTTAATCCAACAATTTTTATATTTTCAATGATAATAAATTAAAAAATTGTAAAAAGATAGAAAGAAAATGGGAAAATGTTTAAAAGAGAGAAGAAAAAAAATAGAAAAATAAAAAATTCCAAAGACTCTTTCCAAATATTTTTTATAAATAGTAAATACCAATTCATATTCTTTACTTCCCACACATTTACTCTATGCACTATTCATATCCTTATTTTCTACATTCCTATTTTGTTTGTGCTTACAAAAATGGCATCAAAGGTTGAGTCAAAACCAGAATTGCATGGTCGACCGCTGAAGATGCTTTCTTGTTCTTTCAAATCTCAAATCTCAAATGTTGTGTGCAAGGTAATGTATAACAAATTGTCTCGGAAGAGAGCAGATTTATTTTTTCATATTACTTAAAATAGATACATCACACACCCTTATCCATCTATCCATCTATGAGCATATGAACTGAGCACAGAAAATAAGTAAAGACGAATATGTGCCCATTCTTTTTGCAAGTTGACTACAACTATCTGCCTATGATAGCCTATCCCTTTGCAACTGAGTTCAATAGCAATTTTGACACATCCGACCCTGATATTCTCCAAACACAAGATAGGCACATGCTGGCCAACACCCAATGGTGATGAAGCCATATTTGGATGCATGAGAAATAATAAATATAAACAATACTTATAAATTTAAATACAATGATTATGAAATTATGGAACGTGTTTAGAGCTTACAACTAATCCTGGACACTAAAAAGGAATAATATAAAATTGAATGAACAAAGAGATGGGTCCTACACCGAGAGGACTCGAAGATGCAGATGCGGGAGTGCCTTGACACCAGGATTATACATCTCGAATCTAAGTCCTAAGGGGGTGCAAAACAAAACACGAGTGGACCAAGTTGATATATAAGTAGTAATATAACAGTTAATCTTTAACGTACTAACCCCCAGGTTTACAAAACTCATATAGTATAATAAGTAATAGGTTTTTCCAAAAACCCTAACTTGCCATAAAACTTTATAAAACATATATCATATATAGTGCTTAATAATGTTATCATAATCAGCCAAAATCACCAACCTACACCCGACCATATCCATATATACGTATCTCTCCGTTGAAGCCACCAACCCACGCCTGGCCTTAACCATATCCTATATCTCCCGGTCGAAGCCAAAATCAATATCTTCCAGCCGAAGCCATCTACAACTGCCCAGTCGTAGCCAATATAAATATCTTCCACCCATAGGCATATAGAACCCTTCATTTGCCCGAAGGCCTTCATTTGTCTGTAGGCTCCTACAGCACCCACCCGAAAGCATATATAGAAGTATCATTTGCCCGTAGGCAGTAACATTCAAATAACCACTAAGTAAGTACATAAAGACATTAACATAATATTTCTAATATCTATATAATCTTAATCGGAGTTCAGTAGCTAGAACCTTATATCGTAAAACCTATTCGTAGTATATAGTCAGCAATCATATATACTACGAAGAACGTAAAATCGATAAAGCATGAATATCATAAAGCGTAAATCCAATTTACTCATAAACGTTTCATAAAACGTAACTATTAAGGGCTGGTTTGGTATTGTTATGCTTTGAAAAAAACTGCATCTGCTGTGCTGTGAGAATAAGCTGTTAATATGTAAGAAGATATACCAGAGAGAAATATCAAGAACTAGAGAGAGAAATTACAATGAGAGAGAGAGAGATGAATGTACTGTTATATTGATTTTCTTACTTTGGAAGTCATTACGCTTAGGTTTATATAGAAGTCACAATACATGTAACTGACTAACTAACTAAGTATACAATCTATTGACAAGTGTTAACATCTCATAATACTAATATACCCTAACATCCCCCCTCAATCTCATGTGGGGATGCACCAAGCATGAGATTGTTACAATGAGACTGAAACAAAGGAGAACTAAGCCATTTAGTTAAAATGTCGGCGAACTGCTCCCTGGAAGAGACAAACTGAACCATGAGTCATTGTTTGGCAACCCGTTCTCGCACAAAATGAACATCGATCTCAATGTACTTTGTGCATTGATGTTGAACAGGATTAAAAGACAATGCGATGGTAGACAAGTTGTCACAGAAGAGCACAGGAGTTGCAGGAAGTTTGATGTGCAGAAAATCAAGAAGTTGTTGTATCCAATCAAGTTCTGCAGAAGTTGAAGACATAGCCCTATATTCAACCTCAGTAGAGGATCGGGACACTGTATTCTACTTCTTGGAGGACCAGGAAATGGGATTTCCACCCAAAAACACAACTAAGCCAGTTGTAGACCGTCGATCATTAGGATCGCCCGCCCAATCAGCATCACTAAAAGCTTTTAAATGCAAATCACGAGCAAAATAGGATATACCAAAGGACATTGTACCTTTTAAATAGCGCATGATCCTCTTGACTGCAATGTAGTGGGAGACCATAGGAGCTTGCATAAACTGACACACTTGATGCACAGCAAAAGCAATATCTAGCCTGGTAAAAGTCAGATACTGCAACGCACCAACTATATTGCGATAAGCTGCAGGATTGTTGAAAGGAGAACTATTATCCTTGAGTAATCGATTGTATGGCAAGCATGGTGTATCACAAGGCTTGCAATCAACCATTTCAGCCTTCTGCAATAAATCTTGGATGTTGTTAGGTTGATATAATAGGTATATTTTGTATCTCTTTTACCTATTAATTTAGTCATGGTTTGATATAAAACAGTTGGATTTGATGTATTTTGTGTGACTTTTATAGAAGTTATTTTTTCGGAGAAAACTGGATTTTTTAGAAGAATTACAAGGAAAGCACGAAAGAATAACGAAGTGGACTGATGCTATGTGAGAGTGGTGCTGGAATTTGGGCTTTATCAAATTAAGTCCAATTTGGGCTTCATAAAAACTGGCGTTGGACTATTCCAAAGAGGAGAAGGTTTTTAATCCCCTTATCAAGAAGGTTGCAGCACAAATAAAAGAGGAGGGGGATTTTAAAGGAAAAAAAGGGCACATTAAAAGAGGGAAGAATCCTGCAGCCGCAAGAGGAGGAAAGGGGGAGATATAACGCATACTCACAACCTTCCAGTGGGGGACTCTCGACAGAAGGTTGCAGTTTTGGGGTTTATCGCGCACGGTTCCAGAATTGGGGTTTTCGGTTTTCTTTATGTCATTGAATTCATCCATGTTTGTCATTAGTTTAATCATGAACTAAGTCCTTTTGCTAGGACTAGGGTGTACTCTTATCATGAACATCTAGCTATTGTTATTTCATATAGATCTCGGTTGTTTTCCATGTTGAGTAATTGTTATTGTGCTTTATCGTTATCAAATAACTGGCCATTATTTGTGTGAAGAACTAAGTTGTGACTGACAGGTTGAGTTTAGTAGATTGCTTCTCTTAACAATTACCATGAATTACATAATTGAGTAGACATACGGATTATGATTTGTGTAGCATTGTGAAATTATCCATTTAGCGTAAAAGGTTTTGATTATCTACATCTGTGGCTAGACATAGCATGGGTAGATAGTTAGAAACACGGTTAGTATATTCTGAAATGAAATATTGACGAATCAAGGGATAATTGCCAGCAACATGGGAAAAATTTGAGTTTAATATGAATAATAGGATTAGATGGGATGGAGAATGAGGAACCTGATGTCCTAGTGCTTCCATATATTAATCTTCCATAATTCATTCACTTTTACTTCTTGTTCGATAAATTGTTATTTCACTTTCGTTTGGTTTCTTGCATATTTGAATTTGTCATCGTAATCCTTCTTTTATTTACGTTTAGTTTGGAGTTAATCTCAATAGGGTTTACCTTGGTCAGAGATTCAAGAAGCTTACTGGAGTACGACGAGGTGATGTCCATGTGCTCCCTTGTACAAAAAGAAGTCAGACGAAGAGAGAGAGAGAGAAAGAGTTGAGGGAATTTGAGGGAAAAAAAGAGTGATGGTGGTGAGGTCGTTGATGTTGTTGTATGTTTGCATATGTGTGTGTGTGGTGCTCAGGAATGGAGAATGAGAGAGTTAGGTGAGGAAGAGTTCAAGAGTGTCCCAAAGCTTAAGGGAGGGAAAGACACAGGGAAGAACTAGGGTGTGGGCCCCACAGGTCATCAGAAAATAATAAAATAAGACAAATATCCCACCCGAAAATCTAGAACAATGAATTGACTATTTTGCCCCTCAACTGCGAAATTCCGTAAAATATTCATCATAACTCCAAATCCGATTAGCTTGCGCCCACACGCTCCTAGCAACGAGTGCTACAAGGATATGCCAAGAAAACAAATCTTACTTGACACGACACAACGATCAACAAAAGTCAAGGTTTTTGCCTCAAAGGGCATTTTCGTAAATTCATATTTTAAAATTATAAAAACCGTAATATTTAGGGATGGGTCGTTACGCTAATGCACACCAAATGTATTTATTCTGATGTGACTATATCGATGAACACTGAATCATTCAAATCTCTCACTATCACAGAAGTCAGTATTTCCTCAGGGAAGTTGCCGTGTGGAATACTTTGTTTCCTGAGATAAGTTGCCGTGTGGAATACTTTGTTTCCCCGTTACTTTTCCATATGTGTGTGGTAATTAGTATGTGCCTGCACTGAGATTATGATACTAACTGTAACGTCATCGCTAGAGGCATGCTTATGAAACCATGTGACATAACAAAGAAGTATCAAAGATCCTTGAGATTCTATCTGTGGAGCTCAATTATAGTTCTGCATGTTTCTCTATCTGCCACTTACTTTCACGACCACATTGTATCATCATCCGTAACTGTCACTGCCAAACAGAAAAGAAGATAAGGATTTTTTTGGCATATTTGTTAGAAAACAAGGTGGAAAATCCGAATGGTACAAAATAATTGAGGCGGCTTCCTTGCCGACTGATGACTACTAGGTGCCGGTGCAACCAAAAGCAAGTCTCAGTCTATTTACATTGATTACTGCAACAGGGGAGCCATACCAGAAGCTAAAGAAAAACTCCGAGGCACTGAATTTTGGTTTACAATGGCTCCTCTTCAATTGCTAAAGGAACCCTCTTTGGTTCTTGCATTCAGTTTCCTCATATTGTTGCTCAAGTTTTTCCTTAAGGATAAGTCAGGGAAAAGAAAACTCAAACTTCCACCAAGCCCTCCGAAGCTGCCTGTCATCGGTAACCTTCACCAGCTCAGAAACAAACCTCACATATCTCTTCGCCGCTTGGCAGAGAAGTACGGTCCACTAATTTACTTACAACTTGGTGAGATCCCAACTGTGGTGGTTTCATCGGCTAGAGTAGCCAAGGAAGTACTGAAAACCCATGACCTCGCGTTATCAAGCCGTCCACAAATCTTTTCTGCCAAACACCTCTTCTATAATTGCACAGATGTTGTCTTCTCCCCTTACAGCGCTTATTGGAGGCATATCCGTAAGATTTGCATACTTGAGCTACTAAATGCCAAACGTGTGCAATCTTATAGCCATGTTAGAGAAGAAGAAGTTGCTCGTCTGGTTTGTCGAGTTGCAGAGTCTTATCCCGGCACCTCCAATCTGACCAAGATACTTGGATTGTATGCAAATGATGTTCTCTGTCGAGTAGCATTTGGAAGGGGTTTTTCAGAAGGTGGAGACTATGATCGGCATGGGTTCCAAAAGATGCTCGAGGAATACCAGGAATTGCTTGGAGGATTTTCTATTGGAGATTTCTTCCCTTCCATGGAGTTTATACATAGCTTAACAGGAATGAAATCGAGACTTCAAGAGACTTTCCGGCGCTTTGATGAACTTTTCGACCAGATGGTGACTGATCATCTCAATCCCAATAGAGAAAAAGAGAAGCACAAGGATCTCGTAGATGTTTTACTTGACGTACAGAAAAGCGAATCTGCTGAAATACCTCTCACCATGGATAATGTCAAGGCTATTATCTTGGTCGGTGTAGACTCATGGATGCTTAAATTTATATTGCATCCACCTGCTCCAGTACTAGTCCCTAGAGAATCCATGGAAGATGTAAGCATCGATGGCTATAATATTCCAGCCAAAACAAGAATTTTTGTCAATGCTGGGCAATAGGGAGGGACCCGGAATCTTGGGAAAATCCAGAAACGTTTCAACCAGAAAGATTCATAGGTAGCACTATAGACTTCAAGGGGCAGCATTATGAGCTTTTACCTTTTGGGGCTGGTAGAAGAGGTTGTCCAGCTATTACGTTCGGAACAGCAACCATTGAGCTTGCTCTAGCTCAACTTCTGCATAGCTTTGATTGGGAACTTCCTCCGGGTACTACCGCTAAAGATTTGGACCTGGCAGAAGTTTTTGGTATCACAATGCACAGGATAGACAATCTGATTGTTGTCGCCAGACCACGGTTTCCCTGAGACAAGAAATCATCAATAAACAACATGATAATTATGTATCATCGAACTGCATCAGATTTCATGTAAGAGACAAGAAGATTCACGCATTGTCTTTAGCCAATATCTCAGAAGCAAACTCCTAATGTAAATGGAATTAATTATACTTACCTTTTTTCTCTGTGAGATATGATTTTCCTTCCATTTTCCTCTCCCTTACCCTGATTGGTGTCTAAATACAATGTCAAAGTCGGTTTCAAAGAACAATTATAATTTCAAAGAACAATTATAATTACATAGTCAAGGTCGGTTTCAAGTGATTCACATTGTCTTCTTTTCTTCCATGTATTTAGACCATAGTTTAAGGTAGAATTAAAAGTTACAAACTATTATATATTCGAGCTGGAGACAAAAAATTCAACCTGGATTGAAAACACGGGTCTGATCTCTAGAACTTTGCCAAAGAAATCACGCCTGAATTAAAATTTCTCCCTTTTAATCCTTTGACAGTCTCCTCCTAATTTATATTGTCACTTTGTGAGGAGAAGATAGCAACTGATTATAAATCTTCATAATTTTGGGAGAACATCTTCACTATAGTTTTCTAAAAGTCTTCCAGTATTTTTAGTCAATTATGAAAGTGAGGCGTCCATGTATGGATTTGCTATGCAAGCTAAATAGCATGATATAACTACATATATGTCGCAATTACAACCCCGATCATGTCGATAATATGAAAACCAAAATAGAATTGTCATAGAAGAACTTCCAATGTCTCATTATAAACCAGTTAACTTATAACTGATACTACAATCTTTGTAACACAAAAAGTACCTCAATCACTTCTGACATGCAATGATAATATCTGTATCTTCTGGAAACCTCTCAACTAAGTTTGGCCAAGAACTGGCTGTTGAAACAACAAACAATGATATGCAATTTATCACACGAACAAAGCAAATCACAAGAATAATATGGGTTTTCTGACATACCTGTTATAAGACAACATAGGCACACCACTCCACCAACCCCCTAATGAAATATTGTTTCACATTTAGGAGTTTAACCACCACAAGGTTCAAAGCAATGACAGGTTACAGTTCAGACGTCATTTTAGTAGTTTCCCTACAACATATTACGAAGATAATATAATACGCTTGACTACTGATTCAAAACCTATTTATTTGTTTCCAAAAACTAGAATATAAAGCACATAAGCAATGCAAAACTAGATAGCAGTCAAAAAGGACAGGACAGCAAGAATTGAATCA